CCCCCCACTTGGGCCGTGACTGATATGCAGAGCCACCTACATCGCCCCCATCCACTCTTTAAAAAAGGGTCCTACGGCAAAGGATAATATACCTGTATCTGCAAATCGCATGGTGTTGGTTTACAATACAACAGACACATTGAATATTTGTTGGAACTGTTTACAATACAACAGACACATTGAAAATTTAATGTTCAACAGTTTTAACAGTTCAAGGAAATATTCAATGTACCTGTTATATTGTTAACAGTTCAATTACATATTCAATGTATTGAATATTTCCTCAAACTGTGTTTATTTCCTTTTTTGACCACCATCCAAACAAAACATGTAACAAAGCTTATTTAAAATTTTGAAAATGAATTCACCTGGTACATGCCAAATCATAGCACATACACCTGGTTTCTAAAGGCAGACGTTAATGCCATTATCTGATCACGTGATTTAACTGGGGACTCCCGATCCGTCTCTTGTTTTAAGGCTGGTTAAATCGTGAAATTAAATTGTGTCTCTAGTTACCGGTACACACCCATACAATAGAACTGCTTTATGCTGGGCAGATGTTATAAATGGAAACCTGTAACCGGGTAAAGTATAATACGGAACAGAAGTTCTTCAAAGGCGTAATTTAGACAAAAACACCAACTACCTTGCATGTCATTTGTTTACACCTTAATAAGGTCAAGGTTATTACTTTGTTACTTCACCTTCTCCCTTTCTTTCTTTCTTTCTTTCTTTCTTTCTTTCTTTCTTTCTTTCTTTCTTTCTTTCTTTCTTTCTTTCTTTCTTTCTTTCAAAGAAAGAAAGAAAGAAAGAAAGAAAGAAAGAAAGAAAGAAAGAAACTTTCTTTCTTTCTTTCTTTCTTTCTTTCTTTCTTTCTTTCTTTCTTTCGTTCTTTCTTTCTTTCTTTCTTTTCTTTCTTTCTTTCTTTCTTTCTTTCTTTCTTTCTTTCTTTCTTTCTTTCTTTCTTTCTTTCTTTCTTTCTTTCTTTCTTTCTTTCTTTCTTTGTAATATTTTTTCGTTCCGAAGATAAAGCCCATGTATTTACACACGTCCAAAACTAAGTCATGCTGACGTAGTACCATTCAGGTAACAGTTCAATCCCTTGATTACAGGTACATGAAACAAAATGTACAAGATTGCCAGCAATAAATGACCACGCAGAAGACTTTTCAGCAATCCATGGACAGGTTCAGCTTACCAATACAAACACGACATGTCGTCTATGTTTAGAGATTACTCAAGAGATAGCAGACATTTATATTTGGAATGTGTTTACAGGGTGAAACCATGATGATAAATTGGTCGAGATTTGTGGGTCAAATCCGAAATAATCTCGACCTCAAAATACGTTTTCTAAATTGATTCGCGGAGCGACTGAGTCAAGTTGTACTTGGGATATACGAAATTACGCTGATTTTCGTCATTACTACACGGTGAAATGACGTCATACGAGGAATAGATTGTGGAATGGCACCGAGTCAAACAGTTTACTTGGAAAAAGAAAACACAAAATTTTTTTTACAGCGTTTCATAACGAAGAAACGTTTTATATTTCATGAAATTTTATTGCAACGCCTAAGGCAGTGGTTCTCAACCTTTTGAGTGCCGCGACCCTTTTATACAGTTTCTTGTGTCGTGGCGACCCCCGCCACACAATTATTTTCGTTGCTACTTCATAGCTGTAAGGATATGTGTTTTCAGATGGTCTTAGGCGACCCCTGGGAAAGGGTCCTGTGACCCCCAAAGGGGTCACGACCCTCAGGTTGAGAACCGCTGGCATAAGGTCTTGTCAAATCCATTATTTCTGGGAAAAACTTAGTCAAAGTGCTGGAATCGTGTGGTTAAAATGACGGAAGTCATGTGTATTTGTGTAATGTTGAACATAAAACCCAACAAGCTGCAAAAACCATTGAACATTCCCATCTTGAGCCTTGCCATTGTGCGACTGATTACCAATTTCTAGACCCACCGATTTCCATTCCAAGGGTGTGAAACAAATGAGGCCACGATGGGGTTATGTGTGGCTACGGTGGGTTATTTGGGGTCACCGTGGGGTTTTGTTCGGTCACTGTGGGTTTATGTGGAAAAAGTTAATTATAAATAAACTATTCTTTTAAAAGAAGCTATCAGTTTTAATTCGGCACTGGTTGCGGTTAGCAACTCTTTCCTTGCGTCCTATCGCCAGGGGTGTTAAAAAATGTTCAGTTGACCCCCCAGATTTGAGGACCAGTGCCAGTCAGTGAAGAAATACGTTTCACTCAATTTTATTGCCCCCCCCCCCCTAGTTTGAAATCCTCACCCCGCATCCTTTCTTTACTTTCATGTTTTCCCAATTGTGTTACAGGCTTCCCAATCCTTGGATGTTTTTTCCAGGGTCTGGTAGCTCTGTCTTGTTCAACAGTCTGGTAGCCCTGTCTTGTTCAACTGACTTGTAGCTCCGTCTTGTTCAACAGTCTGGTAGCCCTGTCTTGTTCAACTGACTTGTAGCCCCCGTCTTGTTCAACAGTCTGTTAGCCATGTCGTGTTAAATTGTCAGGTAGCTCTGTCTTGTTCAACAGTCTGGTAGCCCTGTCTTGTTCAACTGACTTGTAGCCCCCGTCTTGTTCAACAGTCTGTTAGCCATGTCGTGTTAAATTGTCAGGTAGCCCTGTCTTGTTCAACAGTCTGGTAGCCCTGTCTTTTTCAACTGTCTGGTAGCCCTGTCTTGTTCAACTGTCCGGCAGCCCTGTCTTGTTAAACTGTTTAGACTACTTGGAAATCATGCGTTGTTACAACAATTCTACATACAGAATATCATTGGCAAACCAAGTCAATTGTGGGCCCTTAAAACTCCCAATTCACGAATATCCCCCCCCCCCCCCCCTTTCCCCCCCCGTTTTTACAGAGGGGAGAAGCAGAGAAGCGGCACACTCGTAATGCTTCACCGTAGCGGTGAACCACCCGGGTACCACAGGAACACCAAAGGGGTAACTTTGGCACACCCATTGAGAATTACTGGTCTAGACCATTATCTAATGCATGATTTCACGGGTATCTTTGTCTGAACATTTGGGAGAAGTCAATTTTCTCGCGTGACTTTACTTTCTTCCACCATTGACTTTGTGTGGATTTCTCTGCATCGTGGCATCTCTTCCCCCCTTGGCGCTATTTTGGTAATAACTATATTAATATTAGCCAGTGGCTCTGCAATTAATCGAGAATAGATCTTGTGTAGTCGCTGCTTTATCTCAGATAAACGTCATTTCAAGCCCTGGTATCGGGGCACTGGAAGCACTGGTGTGGGGGCACTGGTGTGGGGGCACTGGTGTGGGGGCACTGGTGTGGGGACACTGGTGTGGGGGCACTGGTGTGGGGGTACTGGAAGCACTGGTGTGGGGGTACTGGTGTGGGAGCACTATAATGGAGTACTCTTTTGGGAGCACTATTATGAGAGCACCGATATGGTAGAACTGTTATGGGCGCCTGGTGATGGGATCATTGTCATTAGGAGCACTGTGGTGGCATTACTTGTAGGGGAACGCTGACGGAGGGTATCAAGTTAAGCTTCTGTAGGTTACTAGATGTATTCAGTTTTCTCATGCTGATTGCCATACAGATAGCCATCCAGATAGCCATCCAGATAGCCATCCAGATAGCCAAAATCTAAATCTCGAGGAAAAAAAATATTTAAAAAAAGGAATGAAAGTAAAATTGTCATGAAAAAGTGCTTTTATTTATTCCAGTGCATTTCCTTGGAAAATATTTGTAACTCCAGGGTCAGGGTTGAGCTATGGGGGCACCAACATCGGGGGCGCTAAAGTCGTCTTTTTTCCCCCTGGCCGGCCATTTTCAGTTTCAGGCATCACTCCCGGGTGTTTCTTCTTATCGGCCCCCCCCCCCAAACGCAATGGTTGTCGTGGAGGGACCTTTAGATCACACCAAAGTAATTAATATCTAACAGAAATTTAGCTTCCATCTTTTACATCTCCCCCTGGCCGGCCATTTTCAGTTTCAGGCATCAACCCCGGGTGTTTCTTCTTATCGGCCCCCCCCCCCAAACGTAATGGTTGTCGTGGAGAGACATTTAGATCACACCAAAGTAATTAATATCTAACAGAAATTTAGCTTCCATCTTTTACAGCTAGTGGTCGACTTACGACCACGATCGGTTCCAACGGACCGGTCGTAACACGATTAGGTCGTAAGTTGAGTACATTATGTATGCAGTAATGTGAAGCGATGTTATAAAAATATTTAAGTTAAATCACAAATTTCTTTTATGATTGTTATAAATCATAATTTCCGATGTTCACAACCGCCGATGATTGCAGACGACGCCGTTCGACTGATGATTGAGGCAGAAATAAATCTGACATCCAATACAGTATGGCTAGTGATTGTGGTCGTAAAGTCGAATGGTCGTAAGTTGCTTAGGTCGTAAGTCGAGCACTAGCTGTATATTTGTATCATCTGCTGTAAGATAAAACATGCACTTTGATGTAAAACAAAGACATGTAATATGTTTTTTTAAACAATAACCATGGCTGCGTGTGTCCCCCCTATATTTTTTAGGCGCCCCTGGCCCAGGTTTTATAAGCAAGATTGTTTGGGGAGGGGCGCTGGCTCCACGTGTTTAACAGAGTTGACGTAAAAGGTTATTTGTTTATATACAACCCCCACCACCATACACCCACCCACGTTACTTTGGTGCTATTTGAAATACTTGTAAAAACAACATTTGTAACATGTTGAGATATCGTGTGATTTAACAGTTGAAACATTCCTTTGATTGCAGGACAACCCCCCCCCCCCCCCCCCCCCACCCCCCCCCCC